TGTAAAGTTAAATGATTAATTTGTATCCTTCTAGCAATGTGAGAACAGTCCTGGCTGTGGATCCAGCTAAGGCTCCAGGACAGGTGGACCCAGCTTCCTGGCTTTCTTTCAGCTTGATTTGCTTTATTTCTAGTGGGAATCTGCTATCAATTTACAGAAAGGGCCCGGCAAGCTTTGCTGGCTTCTTTTGCAAGTCTTATAATTTGGCAACACCCTGTGAGCTCTGGAGACCAGGATCCTCTCTTCTAAATCCTTCCTCCTTTCTCATTTCTGCAGAATAAAAGCTGAAATTCTCCCACAGAGCTTTAGGATGCTTATTCATTCACCTATTCAAGAAATATTTATTGAATACCTACTTTGCATCAGGCACTGTTTTAGATGGTAAAAAAGAGAGAGTCCCAGCCTTTGTGGATCTTGCATTGTAATACGGGAAAAATAAGTAAAAATATAATATTTGATTTAAAAAACTGTAAAGGTAACTGAAACAGTTTACAATGTCTGCATCTATCAGTCATTTAAACTGATAAGTATAAACCCAAGAGCTGGTTTTATGAGCAAGGTGAACTGAATGGGAGAGGGAAGTGAGATTTTGGGAGACTGACTTCCTGTGCTTTGTTTTATTCTTTTGCCTTTAAAATTGAAATGTTTGCTCAGCCTTCTTACTCTCAGTAAAGAAGCAGAGCCTCTGTAATGGAACTTTATTCCTTTCCTTTGCAAACAGGAGTAGGGGTGCCCTGAATGCAAGTGTGTTAGCCATAATGACAGTGGGGGAATGTGCAATAATGCTTCAGGAAATGAGTTCTTTAACAAAAATCAAAAGGAAGTTGGGCAGCCTCAGCCCACTGCCTTCAGGTGCAATGGCCTTAATATTTTAGACTGTGGGGAAGGGAGAACAAATCTTACATGCTATAGGCAGTGTCTGCTGACAAAAAGTCTGAGTTTCAATTAAAATACTTAATTCTATAAGACTCACCAAAAATAGATGGAGAGCAAGACTAAAGGAGATAAAAAAAATTGTTGATGTTTTAGTATAATGTTGTGTCAGTCTTATTTGACGCAATTTCTGCATCTCTGTACAAAATAATATCAAGCTCATTTTTTCCCAAAACTCCTGGTTTTCAAATCAAAAAATAACTTAAAAAAAATAAAAGCAGTACTGGTTACTTTTGAAGGTTCTTGACCGGGAAGAGAGCACAAGGGAACGTTCTGTGGTGATGGGAATATTCTAAATCTGGATCTCGGTGATGTTAAACGGGTGGATATAGATGTAAAAAGTCATCATCATGCTGTAACTTAAGATTTGTGTGTTTTTACTGTGTTTAACATACACTTCAATGAAAAAGGAAAAAAATAAGTAAAAGGAAAGTCTGAATTTTAGGCCTGCCGATGTGTGGTAAACTAGACATCATCAATTATGAGCTCAGTGGCCCATGAAGGGACTGATTAGATCTTTACAATCTCTTCCTATTTGCTCAGCTGATGACATGATTTAGCAAACTACAGAGCTGTTAACTTTCCTCCTTGTTATTGACACCTATTGAGTTCCAATACAAAAGCTATCTAGAAAGGAAATTAGAAAAACAAATAAGGAAGGAGGGAAATACCTGCTGAGTTTTCAGCTAAGATAAAATTCAGAGAGAGTTTCATGCTTGTTGGAAATTTCTCTCAGTGGGGTTTTCCATGCTGTTAATAGGTTTGACCCCAAGAATTCTGGGTCCCTGTAGGATTGTTATGTCAGGGAAGAGGGAGAATCCCCCTCTGCCCTTTCCCTTAAGGTTCTTCTGGCTGGCCAAATAATTAAAAAACAGGTTAGCAGGAGAAAATAATACCAAGTTTAATAACATGTATACATGGGAGAAACCAGGGAAACTGAGTTTCTCAACACAATAGCGGAGCTTCTCGTCTTAAATACTATCTTCAGCTAAAGACAAAGGAGGATGTTGGGGCCGGGGGGTTTGGGATTTCAGAGGGGAAGAAGAGAATTCACATGGAGAGGGAAATGTAAATGTTTGTCAGACAATTCTTTGCAGGGCCGCCTATAGAGAATACAGCCAAAGAGACAGAAATCACAGTAATCAAGAGTATGTAGATTTAAGTCCTCTCCTTCCATACTGATAAGAGTTTTCACAGATAAGGTCACCCCCTCTTCCCACTATACAGAGGGAGATACCTTTACAAATGTAAATATTTGGTAAACAGAACTTTGTTAAGAATGGGCTTAGCAAGGACCCTGCCAGTCTGTCCATACCCAGAGTTAAATTCCTTAAGGCAGTTTGTGGGAGGTCAAATGTCCATCACAGAAGATAATCAAGGTAAAGAGATATATTTCAGGGTGGCCAAATTTTGATCTCCCACAGTTACAATCTGCCACAAAGGCAGAAATAATCGTGTGTGAGGCCTCTTCTCCCTAAATAAATGTGAAAAGTTTGCTTCACAAAAGAATCACATTCAGCAAGCCTATGATTAAAAATATTAAATTTGGGTTGTTTCCAATAGCAAAGAAAATACTGTTGAATTCCCTGTCGCATATTTTTTAAGCTGTATTCATTTCCACTATTATTATTTTCTAATTTCTACAAAGTAAAATTTCATAATCATAATGAAATTTCCTGATTTTCTGATTTGATTCAATTAAATTATGTACATCCCCAATGATTATTTTTGTATGATGAACATATTTTTGTTTCATGAAAATATTTCTTCTTTAAAAAACAGGAAAGAATAGGGGCCGACTCGGTGGTGTAGTCGTTAAGTTCACACTCTCCACTTCGGCGGCCTGGGGTTTACGGGTTCGGATCCCCAGCACGGACCTGTGCATCACTTATCAAGCCATGCTGTGGCAGGGGTCCCACATATAAAGTAGAGGAAGATGGGCATGGATGTTGGCCCAGGGCCAATCTTCTTCAGCAAAAGGAGGAGGATTGGCAACAGATGTTAGCTCAGGGCTAATCTTCCTCACACACACACACAAAACAGGAAAGAATAGATTTTCATTGTGTTAATAATAATTTTAAACCCACACATCATTTTGATATTTTTCCCCCTTAATAAAGTGTTAGATTTTTAAAAATCTTTGATTACTAGAGATCTTCATTTTGATTCTTTTACTCTGCCCTACTTTAAAGAGTTCATCATATTAATCTCAATAAAATTGTGTTTTCCAAAAATTAAAGTCATCATACTGTGGAAAAAATATAAATATTTGTATCTGTGAATGAACTCCACAATCGACAAAAATTATTTTTCCTGTCTAAAACGTTATTTTTATGTTAGTTGTTTAGAACTTAAAACTATTTTTTTTTCCTTTAGAGACACGGTTTTTGTGTTCTCAGAATAGCCCACAGAAGCTAGGTAATTTACTAAGCAATGAAGGTGAAAAACTGTATGTTTATGGCAAAATTTTAATAATAATAATTATGATTATAATAATAGCAAAAGATTAATGAATAAAACAGAATTTTATAATTTTACCTTTCAACTATTTTTTAAAGGCACATTTAATTACATGAAGACGGACATCTTCAAATAACCTATCCTTGTCAATACAGATAATGCAGAATACATAGAGTAAAAACAAAATATGAATCATCCCACCAACCAGAAATATCTACTCTTAATATAGTATTGTGTTTATATACAAGATTGAAAACAGATCTTTACATAATTGAGACCACACTGCACTGCCTTGGATCTTGCTTTTTCCAATCATTGTTGTATTTTAAAGATTTTGAAGATTGTCAGCATGGATTCTTTGTCTAATCCCACTTGAAATCTTGATCGTTTTCTTTCTTTAAAATAAGTGTGCCACTACTTTTTGTTTTGTCTTGGCTTGTATAGAATGTATAAAATAAAGCAGAGAAAGGAAAGAGAAGGGAACCAGAAGGGGAGAATGAGAATAAGCATGACAACAAGGGAGAGTTTAGGTAACAGCAAGAGTTGGAGGGGTCTACTGATATAAAAGATGTTTGAGAGAAAATAAACAGAATTTGGAACAGTAAACTTTAGAATAACAGGGATTCTAGTATTAAAGCCAAATGAGAATAAGCATCATTTTATCCTACCCGTTCATTTGATAAGGAGATGAATGTTTATCAAGTCTAAGGTCTTGCTTAGGAGACAGAGATAGTTTGAGGCAATAGTGGGAAGGGAAGCCAGATCTGCTGATTCTCAATCTTAATTTCCTTCCTTGACTCTCTGAGGTATTAAAAAAATTGAAGAGCAAGAAGTGTGCATCATCTCCTTGAGGACTGAAAAAGGAAACTGTAGAAGGCGGCTCAATAAATATCCCGATATAAGGCTTGGTCAGAGTTGGCTGGAGCTCGGAGAAGTTAAGGAAAGGGGAAAGAAGAAGAGTAGCCCCTCCTGGGTGCAGAGAGGTGAAGGCTACATACAAGCCACCATCCATAAATGTTTTTTTTAGCTCATGGATTACTTGCTCCAGATTTGACAATTCTAGAATGAATGTTACAATATATTGTTAACCCATCCATGTAGATTAGCAAATGAAAAGACAGTGGAGTTAAGCATTTGCCTATTTGATGGAAGGGGAACCAATGTCTATCACAACCAATTGTGCTTATCACATCATTTTTTGTCCTTAAAGCAAAGTTCACCTGTCCACAGTATAATTCTAAAACAATATAAACTTTGTGTTTTGGATATCGGTATGGGTAATAGCCCATTGCTCTTGTTACACTATTTCTCAGTGCTCTTGTTAATTCTAGAATAAACTTGAGACCAGTGCCATTGGGGAGGTGGAAGTCAGAGGCTAGAAGATGGGAAATAGAGAGTAACGAGTTAGAGTGAAATTCTATACTTTTTTAAAGTTTATCAATGCCTTCTGTTCTTTTGAAAAATAGAAAGCATTGTCTTGAGAGCTTAGATTTCATTATCTGAATCAGTGTTACTTTGCTTAATGTCAAACGTATTTTTGGTTTGTTTCTCAAGAATCAGACCTCACAGATTTAAAACTTGTTTCCTAAATTTTTTTCTTCGCTAAGACTCACCTTGACCTTATCCTGTCCCATGGACTTGAAGAATTTTCCAATGGATGTCCAGACCTGTACAATGCAGCTGGAGAGTTGTAAGTCACCACTGTTGAAATAACTGTCTGCTTGTTTTAACCAATGACCTGGTTCTTTCAGTGTGTCATTAAGGAGAAAAGACCCATAAGACTCATTCTCTACCTACTTACCAACTCCCAAGGTCCTAAGGCAAGGACAAGCAAAAGCATGTGTGCATGTCTCATACCCAATAAAGCATAGACAATCTTTCAAAGTAAAATGCCAAATAACTCACCCTTCCTCAAAAAACAAGGCTGATTTAGTAAGCTTTTCTTTGAAATGAAAATGTCTCCTGGGAAAATTAAGACTATTCTTCATTCAACCTCTATAATGAATCACTCTCTAATCAGAAAATTGTATTTCTTTCTATGTTATGCTCATATAGACCATCACCCTAAAGGAATTTTGGCAGGAAGGGATAATTGATTTGAGGACAAGATTCAGGGGCCTTAGCCAGAGGAGGATGCAAGAATGAGGGGCATGAGATAATATGGAATAAGAGGCATCTCCCTTAGAGGCAGTGGATACACAAAGGCATGGTGAAGGAAGTAGAGAAATGCTATCTATTTTGTCCCCTTTATGCCCTAGCCCTGATACCACTGAAATCTTTGACATGTGCCGTAAGTTGCTGATGCCTCCAAGGTAATGGGACTTTCAGTCAAGAGGCATGAAATTCTTTCTGGCTTGCTCTGTCAGTTTCTCTGTTTGTAAAATGCAGAGAATAATAAGTGCTACTGATCTACAGGGATGTTAGGAGATTTAATGAGGCAGGGGCAAGGAAAAACTTTTAGCTTCTTGGTTTAGAAAAATAATAAATGTAAAAAAACACATCAACTATTATTAAAAAAAGAGGTGGTGACAGGGTTTCCTTCTGATCATTTAAAATCACTGTAGATTTCCCTAGAAACTTCCTACAGAAATAAACAAAATAATAAAACGTCTTTGTTTTAAGAAGTTGTCAGGGATAAAATGAGAATTTCTGATTTACAATAGGCTTTATGTAGTCACTTTTTCCCTATCGCCCCTTCTCTTGAGAAGGAAGCTGAGAAAAACATTTTCTTACATCATGATTCCTCCTTTGTGTCTTCTCTACTGCTCCAAACTCTCCCCTGCCTCAATCCAACACTTATTTTCTCTGTAAAACAGCCTAGCTGTCATCTGAGGCTCTTCCAAGGCTTAAAAAACTCCAATTAGTAAATATGCTTGGTCTTTGCAGGACCCAGAAGTAATGAAATCAAAGAAGCAGCGATGTGTTTGCTACTAACTTTGAATGTGAAGGGTGGGAATTACTCTTTACTTTTCTACCCTCATATTACCTCCTCATTTGCCATCTCTTTACCTCTTCTGTGTGTCCCTGGCTGGGGCCTCAGGGTGTCTGACAAGGACTATTATTGTGGTAGCCAGCAAGAAGCTTGCCAGACAAGGATATTAGGGTGTTTGGTGTGCTTCTGCTATTTGTTGGAGATACCCAAGAAGTACTCCTACAGCGTTGCAGTGGAAGAGATAGGGTTGGCCATTCTCTTTGTGGACCATCAACCCTTGTACAGGGTCCTCTTTGTAATTTCTTGCTTTCCATGTTTTTATTTTTTGGCTTTGAATGGAAAAGATGGTCCAAAGAAAGAGGAAAGTAGATTACAATTAACTTTGCCATTGATTTCTGTGTAGCGTTGGTGAGTCACTATCTTGCAGTAAACAAGAATCTATAAATTTAATAAACATGCTTAGGTTATTGGTCAGCCAAGACTTCACATAATATCCCTGTCCTCCTCACTCTCATTTTAGAGTTCAAATTTCACAAAGAGGGAGGGGAGAGAAATGATGCCTGAAGGAACAGTAGCCTTCATTTCTGGGGTGCAAAAAGATCTAGAAGCACTTGACAGATAATGACCTAATTAGAAGGAGCTTGGAGATTAAGAGCTAATTTTGGTTCACTAAACTGATAACAATCTTACTTTGGATGATTCAAGAGTCATATAACAATATGATCTTACATAACAGAGAATCTCTTTCATTTCATATTAATCACCGGGGTGAGTAGGCCCATTTAGCAAGACACTAGCACAAATGAACATGCTTGATTTGCATATTCCACAACTTCCTCTTATGTTATCTACCTATAGCCTTCCCCATTTGCTAAAATAACTGAGGATTGACCATAAGGACTTTCGCACAAGCTTTCTGAAAACAAAGCTAATAGACCCTAGGAGAGGGGCCAAGTTTGCAATGGGAATGTTTTAGGTAGGCCTGTGATGAATTCATTCTCATTTAAAAAAAGAATGCTTTTCATTTGAAATACTAAGACTGGTGCCATGAATTGGATTGTCTTATTGGATTGCCACAGACACAACTCTTTCAAGTAAAGACAATCTTCAAAGGAATTTTATCTTTATTTACTTGTTTGTTCTTCAGAAAGATTTAGTGAATAAAGAGGGCAGAATAAAATGAACTTTATAGATTTCATTCTCTCATTACACAGAAAAAAATCATTCAGAAATAGCTTGCTGTTTTCAATTTCTTTGGTTCCAATGACATGTAGTTGTCATGATGATTGCAGCACTTATGTTAAAAATACTCTTGAATTGATTGAGCATGTGTCTGCTTTAGACAATTTCCTTGTCTATTTCTTTACATGGCTAGACTTTCAAGCTTTCTGGGAAAGATGCATTCAATTTTTCACCATGATTTGTTTACTCCAGTTGGGTACACGATGAATGACCTGATATTTGAGTGGTTAAGCGATGGTCCAGTTCAAGTTGCTGAAGGATTGACCCTGCCCCAGTTTATTTTGAAAGAAGAGAAAGAACTCGGCTACTGCACAAAGCACTATAACACTGGTAAGTTTTCTTTCAGCTGCTATACCCAAGTGGGCTCCATCTGCAGCTTGGGGTATACATCCCATCACCTTAATTGCTGCATATTTACCAAGAAAATGGAGCTACAAGGCACGGACCTGGGCTTGGCTCAAAACCCCCTCAACAGACAAGATGCCTGTACCCTCTGGAATAGGTCAGTGAGCACAACAGATAATTTCTCCGAAACAGAGAGAGAAGGAAAGAGATTTAGGAATCTCTTGCTGTTCTCTTGCTGACCATCTGCTGTCAAATGAGTCTGAGGAAAGATGTACGAGACCTTGTAAGTGGTGCAGGAAGCATATAAATTCTGGCCTGTTCCTGGTGTCCACTCTTGACTTTGGATCCTCAGGTCAATTTGCACTCTCTGCCTTAGTGGGAGAGAAGAATAACAACATAGGTCTTTGTAAACCCAGAAATACAGCTGTTGTGCCCTCCAGTCCCGGACAGTAATCGGAGTTGGGATGAAAATCAGCTGGCGGGAAGTCAGCTGGCTCTAAAGTCATGCACTGTCGGCAGTTCTGACAGACACTTGGGGTGGGGGGATGGGGGCAGAATTTGAGGTGTTAGCAACAAGTGGGCATCTGTTTTTACCTGGAAGATTATGCCTATAAAGTTGATGGCTTTCCCTGTGAATGTCCCGGTCTTTGACACCACACAAGCTGATCATGGAAAGGCTATCGAAACATGGTGGTTTGTTCAGTGACTGCTCCAGGTCCCTTGCTGAGTAGAATGGTCCATGAACACTTGTTCCAGGAGTCAACAGTGCTTCCTACGAAGTAATAAAACCTGATTCCAAGGTGTTCTTCCTGACCAAGAAGAATCCAGCCCTATCTCCTATAATTCATGTTGACTAAGCCAAATTACCTTCTGGGGTTCTAACTCCAAGCCAATTAAAGAGGAAGTGGCAGGGGAAGGAACATTTGTCTCTTAATAGTGTGTTAAAAGTTTTAATATCTTTATATGCACTCCTTTTTATAGGCAATGTAACACTGTAAACAGATTCTAGGAATATTCTAAATGTCCTCAAGCAATTAACCAGAAGGCTGGGAAATGTTTACAATGATTATAGGCATGGCTTATACAAGTGTATATTTTTCTCTTGCTATTGATAAGACAAAGATAGATACACAATTATCCAAATACTTTGGGATTCCCATGTGAACTTTACTACCTAGGAGGGAATGGTTTCAACTATTACATATTATCTGTTATGTATTATATGCTTATAGTATATGTTATACATATATGCTGTAAATTACATATTGTGCTATATATTACATATTATAACCCCATAAAATGTGAATATTTTATTTCCACTGGTCAGTTTATGACAGTCTTGCAAATTCCGTAGCTCTGTCTAAATAATCAAGCTGCACTAAGCACAGATTTAGAAAATTGAATATGCCACATGGTTTTGGTGCAGTGACTCCTTATTCATTCTCACACTGTCATTTCCATTACTGGTGGAGTTGGAAAAGAGTTGAATTGCTTATGTAGGGTGAGCGTTTTGTGCAATCTTCCAAATCCATCTGTAATACTCTTTTTTTTTTTCTAATAAAGTGGGAGGCTGGAATGGGAAAGATAAATTCAAAGTGGATTTTAAATCATCTTTTCTTGCTTCCAGGAAAGTTTACCTGCATCGAGGTTAAGTTTCACCTGGAACGTCAGATGGGATATTATCTGATCCAGATGTACATACCCAGTCTGTTGATAGTCATTTTGTCCTGGGTCTCCTTTTGGATAAACATGGATGCAGCCCCTGCCAGGGTTGCACTGGGCATCACCACGGTCTTAACGATGACCACCCAGAGTTCAGGTTCCAGGGCATCTCTTCCAAAGGTAAGAAATATCCTCACTTGACAACAAGTCACCTAAGAGGTTTGTCAAAGGTCTTGTGGGTTGAAGAATTCTGTGAAGACAGAAACGTTTGCCGTCCTGAAGCGCTGTTGAAGATGCAAATGCAATGAGAGAACAAAGAGCTGAGTTTGAGAGAATTAGAAGCTCTGAGGACATGAGGGACCTTCATAATCAGATCAATTAGGGGAAAGGGGAATCAAGGTTAAGAGAGAAGAGGAGTGAGTGGAGGCAGAAACTTCGCTCAGGAATTCTGTCTAAGAAGCCATTGAGTGCTTTTGACCTCATGCGGTTTATGAGCCATGAAGCTTGCAGGAATTGGAGTAAGACTGATGCAACTTATGCTGTATTGTCAAGTATTTATTGGTGAGGCTATTGTGATTTATATGCTCAGTGAAGTCATTTACAGTAATAAAAGTTCGAATTAAGCTCCTGGAAGTTTACACAGAAAATCCATGTCAATGAGTATATATAATAAATGAATGTACAATACTAGGATGCAGCAAATCAGATACATGAATCTTTGGTATGCCTTAATTTCCCTTAATATTTGATACGCTACTATTTTCGAGTGACACAGTTACCTAGAGAAGGAACAGTGGAGTCATCCAAGATGGTAAGAATTCCGGCAACTGTGGCAGGTTGACAGAGAAGTATGGGGTGGATATCAGGGGCACATAGACATTTTGTGGCACCTCAAATAATAATCCATAATGGCTGCATAATCTATTTTTATTAAGGCAGGACCTCTGCATTTGCAAATATTGCTTAAGCAAGTAACGACAAATGTCCTGCTTGTGAAGTGCCCCAGCACCCCAGAAGTGTGCCTATGTGTGTTTCTCCCTTTCACTGAATACATCGAGCTGTTGGCTTCAATTTTTCAGGAGTGTGAGTTCAATTTAGTATTCAGTGTACACTGTCTCATACTGGTTGAGCAGTCTCTCCAAAACCCAGTTCCAGAAAATAATTGCGATGTAATCCCATATCTTTGCTGGCTTAAGCTTATGTTCAGTAGTGCTGCATTTGACACGATGAGAAATGTTAGATCATGTTCCACATTATCTAGTATGTTGGAAAGTAAGATGACATATGCAGGAGGTCTGTGGCTATAATGGGGGTGGATTGTATACTGGGGAAATAGTTATGTAAATTTTCAAGTTCCATGTTTCCAAAGATAAATATTAGATTTTGTATGCTAATAGAGAAAGGAATAGATCTGTCTGATACTTTATTTTCTAGAATAACAAATAGTACAAAATACCCGTGTCATATTTCTATTGGAATACAGATGTCAGAAATACTAACAGCTTTTTTTCAGCTACATAATCACAAATCAATTTTACCTAATAGAAATTCTAATCCACTCTGTGCCTCATCCCAAACAGGTTCATTTGCTCATTTCTCATCACTTATTAGTTACTGCCATCACTGCATGCCATGCCATTAAACCCCAGGATGCAAAAACATGTATTTTACAATCCCCTATCAATTTTACAATTTGATAGCTAAAGTATCGGTGACAAATTGTAAGCATATAATGTAAAAACATAAGACATTTAGCCTCCAACCACTCCTTGCTATGAAAAGAGTAGTCATTTATTTTCAAAATGGGAGCTTGAGTTTTTATAAACTTGTTATTCATTCTTATTAGCTATTATGATTCTACATCAATGGTCAAAACTATTACTAAATAAATGGTCACTGATCAGTGATCTTTGTATGTATAGGCAAACAGGAACTCAGATAAACCAAAAGAGAATATAATCAAAAATTATTTTATACTTAGCTCTGAATTCATAGTGATTATCCTTTTGCCATCAGCAGGTTTATCTTCCTACGTGTATTTTTCTTAGGCTATTATTAAACGTGGTTGGCTCTCAACTGACTGTGGGGAGATGTGACTCATATGGATGACAGTGAGAAAGGAAAATAGGATAAAAAGTGAGTCATGAAAAATAAAGAATTGACCATACAGTTACTTACACACACACACATACATATGAATATTTTAATTTATAAACACTGCAGTCCCTGAGCCAATGCTCCACTATGCTGATAGTACAGTTGCTCCAGAGCCTACGGCAACACTCTTCAAGAGTAGGCATGCACATTGCCCTTTAGAAGTAAGGCATGCTTGTTATAGAAAAGATAGAAAATACAGAAAATATCATTAATGTTAACCATCGAATAAATAACTGTTAAGACTTTGGTGTATTTCCTTCCAGTCTTTTTTTCTATCCACATTTGTAGGCAAACCCATACACATGCGCACACAAAAAACTGAGATCAAACTTTTATACAGTTCTATACTATGTGCTATTTCCCATGGCATTAAAATCTATCCTGAATGTAATTTGCAATGACTTAGTCTATCTTTTATTAATCATCATTTATTTTACCACCTTGGATATTTAGGATTTTCTTTTTTGCTTTTGTAAATATGATCATTATAAATATATTTGTATATGAGTGTTTGTGTCTCACCACATTCTGGAAGACACACATACATATTTTTTTAAATCTTATTTTGCAATGGAAAAAAGAAGGAACTGAGGACGATTAGAGTAAATGAGGGACGATCTATGGGAAGATGCCCAGTGGCATGTATGCTCCATTCAGGCAAAAACTTTGTCTTGTTCATCACGTTAATTTCAGCACCTAGAACAGTGTGTGACTTAGACTAGATGACCAATAAATCCTCATTGGAGGGATAAATAAATTAATTAATGAACAGCCATGTTCCCCCATGTGAGAACACGTAAAAGATAGAGTAGACTTGAAGCAGAATTTACAGGTAAAAGTTTTACAGAAAAATATTAAAGTTTTAATATATGAAAGAATCTCATAATAATATGACATATACTATAGAGGAATGGAATTACTCTAAAGGAGTATGTCTTCCTTTCCAGAAGTTCTCAAGTAGACTTTGGGAAGTTAAGAATATACCCACGAAGATGTATTTTGAAACACAGGCAGGCCTGGATCTAAATCTTAGAGCCTCTACTTCACTCAATCTCTCTAAGCCTGTTTCCTCAGTTCTAAAATGAGAATAATGTTATCGACTGCTTTCAAAAATTAAATGAGGATGAGATGAGGCATTACTTATATAAATTGTTTAGCCCAGTTTTTGTACATGGTAGGCACTCAATTTATTCTGGTTATTTTTGTTGTTATTGCTCCCTGTCCATAATACAAGGGAAAAGACTGCTCCATGGGATGGGAAGTTATGTTAGAGGACTCATAATGGGCCTTATGAATAGAAGAAGCTGTGTTCTTTGGATGGCCCATTATCTGGTTATAGTCATGCTGCCAATGAGATGAGCCAAAGTTTATTGTATGCGTGTGTGTACACATGTGTGTGTTTTTCATAGGTATGTAGTTCATTGAATGGGTTAAGCTCTACAGGGTCTGAATAAGCAATGGCTCTGTTCTTCTACAATCACTGCCATTAAACATCCTCAATTGGTTCTGTTTTCCCTGCCCCTGGAGGACGCTTCAGGAAGATTCCATAGATTCTCAGTTGCTACACGCTATGGCATTAGACCCAGAATGAACAAACGTGTATTTTATAATTTAATAGACAGCTAAAGTATTGGTGTTAAATACTTTAGGACAGTCCATTCAAATTTTTTAAAAAATCATCTAGCCTGAAACAAAACTTCAGTCTCACACGCAATTCAATGCTTTTTCCCCTCCCTTGTCCCCAGCTCAGGCCTGACCTTTGGCTTGAAGATGTGCAGCAAGGTGGGCCCTTTGCCTTTCCAATTCTCTTCTCCACTCCTGTTGCTGACTTCACCACTGTTCAGGGGTGAGGGTGAAAGGATGGATGGAAGAAAGTTGTATGTGACTGATTCTGTTGTATTGTAACTCTTGCCTTCTCTAATGGCAAGCCTCCAAATGCCGGCTTTCTAGTGAGTTGAACTTGAGTTCTTTGGAGATTTCCGGGGGTCACACATACTATACCATTCCTGGATGAATAATACACTCTCTGGCTGATGTCTTACAATCGCCTCTTAGCTATCGCCTCCTAGCAGCATCTCCCATACAACTTAATACTCCCGGGGTCTCCTTACTCAAGTAGACAGCCCTCCTGGTTGATATGTTTTCAAGATGATTCACATCTGGCTATCTTCCACACCATTTATTTGGCCCACCAAGAACGTACGTTCTTGTCTTGCTAAATAGTGGAAATGCAACTTAACTGTTAACCTTTCTGCCTTCACCCCAGCATCTTGGGTATTCAAGCTTCAGAATTTATCCAGGTAAGAAACAAGTATTGGTGTTCATGTTTTCGTATAAAACTCAAACTGCTGAGGACACATGACAGGCTCTCCTAAGAACTCTTTTCCTCTCTGATCCAGGGGCAACTTGTTAGAATTTCAGCAGCTCAGCAGATAGATGACAAGTGGAGGAGATGCCAGACTCTTCTCCTATTGGGGTGGGGTAAATCACCTTCTCCCCGTCGTTAGGAGAGTAGGGAAAAACGCCACAGCATTGTCAACATCCACAAATTCCATTACTTCAATTAGTTCTTGTCAAGTGTCTAGTCTTCCATTACAATACACGGTGTTGGGTATAATGGTCTCTAGATAGCATTTGCTATCTTCTAGAAAGTCCTGCATCCTGCATGCATATGTGTAGTATCCCTTCAGAGTGAGGCTTTTGTCAAAATTCTCAGACAATGATATCCCATTCCCATACTGTTACACTTATAAACATACTTAATTTTAGAGTTTTATGCTTATGAGGGCAAGGATTCCACTGATTTTTTGTCCATGTTTACATACCTACCACTTAGCACAACACCTGACTCATAGTAGGTACTCAGTAAAGAGTTGGTTAATGAATGAATAAACAGTGTTGAAAAGACTTGTAGGCAAGTGGTATTCTAGGTGTAATTTAATTGGCGGTTAATTCATCCATTCATTTATTCAACTTTTATTGAATGTCTTCTCTGTACCATGCATTGTGCTAGGGGCTGGGGA